GGAGGGGGGCCATGCGGGCGACGGGATGTGGGCCAGGCCTGGACCCCGGGGGAGCAGGGACAGCCCTGCTTCCTAGCCTCTGGGCTGGGAGGTGCCCTGCCACAGTGGGTCCTGTAGGGCCTCTTGAGCTGGGCTGACAGAGCCAGCAGGGATGGTGGTAGCGGAGAGAGAGAAGGGGGGAGCTGTTCTCCCTAGGTCAGCGGCTCTGCTCCAGCCCTTTCACTGCATCCAGTGGCATCCGTGTGATGAGTTAGCAGTTCTCAGGCAAGGCCCGGGGCCTGTGTCTCCCAGGCCAACCCCACACTGGCTCTGGGGGGCGCCTGAGGTCAGGGCTGCGGTACCTCATCAGGGAGTGGCCAGGTGGGGTGAGCCTGCCCAGACCCCTCCCGTGCCCAGGCTGCGCTTGGTCCATGGACAGTCTTCAGAACTTTGTGGCCCTTGGGATGCCAGTCCTGGGGTCCCTGCCAGCCCTTCGGATGCCCCTCAGCACTCCTGTCCTGCTGCTCCCCCTGCCCCATAACCCATCCCGTTCCACTACCACCCTGCTGTCCTGTCTGCAGCCCCCGGGTCGTTCCAGTCCGGGCTGAGGCTCCAGCATGGGAGGAGCCCCCCCGGGCCTTGAGGGAGCCCCCCTGCCCTCGGGGGCACGTACGTGCTTTAGTTTGAGCTGGATGCACCTCCATCCCGCGACGTGCTTCTCGGCGCCCCGCTGGACGGTCAGCAGCTCCGTGCGGACTGGGCTGCCCTCCAGGGGCCAGCCGGCCTCACTCAGGACCTGCAAGCAGCAGCTGGCGCTGAAAGCTCTGCCGAGCCTGTTTCCCATCAGTCCCCGCCCTGGCTTTGCTCCCTGGTGCTGGGGCCAGAGTGCAGCCGGCCTCAGGGGAACGCTGACCGGAAAAGGGCCACGTGGCCACTGATAGCCCTCGGGTACCTTGGAAACCCAGCCACCTTCACCTGTAACCCAGCGCAGCATCCCAGCACAACTACAGGTCCCAGGGTGCATTGAGCCCAGCTGCATTGCATGCTGGGGCCTGTAGTCTCTGAGGACTGCACCTCCAGCATGAGGTGAGGCGTGGAGGGCAGCTGTGACCCCGCTGTTTTATGCAAACTCCACAGGTTCTTTGGCCTTCTGGGATGTTGCTTTGGGGAGCCCAGCAGGAGGGCGGCAGCTGAGGCCTTGGATCGGGGGTCGTCTATAAATCCGGGGGCTCCATCTGGCTGCTCTCACCAGTGGGGGCGCCCACGGGGCAGGCTCACCCAGGGTGCGTCTACACAGCTGCGTTATTTCGGAATAACACTGCGAGCGTCTACACCGCAATTCCGTTATTTCAAAATCACGGGCGGCGTATTCCGACTTCTGTAAACCTCATTCCACGGGGACGATCGCCTCTTCCGAAATAGCTATTTGGGAACAGCAGGGGTGTGGAGACGCCACGGCTGCCATTTCAAACTAGCTCCTCCCCAGGCCAGTCAAAGCAATCACCCCCCAGTGCCTTTCGGGGCTCTAAATCGAGGGAGCGCGTCCACATTAGGGGAGCCGGCCTCGGACCAATTTTGAGGCTTCCCTGCAGTGTAGACACGCTATTTTGAAATAAGCTATTTTGGAAAAAATTTTTCCAGAAGAGCTTATTTTGAAATAAGGGTGCTGTGTAGACGTACCCCAAGGGAAAAGTTGGTCAAACCCCATTTTTCCATCAGTAAAGAGTTCTGACAGAAAGTTTCCCACCACTTTCCTTACAGTCTGAGGAGGACGGTGCCCAAGCAGGAGCCCGGGGAGAGGGCCAGGCAGGGGGTGGGGGAGTTTGTGTCCCAGGGGATTGGGGTGGGGAGAGGGTGTCACGTTACTGAATTTGAGGGAAGCAGCCAGATCACTGCTGCACCCATAGGTGGGGGTGTTGGCCCCAAAAATGGTATAAAAGGGGGGCCATGTGAGGTGTTGAATAGAAGCTCACTGTCTGCTAATCCGCCCTTGGGGCACCCCCACTGGTCTGTTAACAAGGAAACCAACCCCCGGAACCCAAATGCGTTCAACTTGGCAGAGCTGCCGCAGAGCCTGCTGGGAGCTGTAGTTCTGTTGCCTTGTGGCCCCTATTGTTGTGCATGGGCCAGGCTCCCTGATCAGACTACATCCCCCATGATGCACTGCCTGCCCCCTTCAACTGGGCATACTGCGGTGCATCCTGGGAGATGTAGTCTGGCCAGGAAGCCTGGCCCATGCGGGAGAACGGTGGCATTTCCAAACTGAAATATTTCAGGGCGTGGCCAAATGTTTTCAATATTCACATTTCTTCCAAAACTTGAGCTTGTCGTGGAAAACCCTCCGGTTTTGACCAGCTGTAGCCACCCCTCATCTAACGGGATCCCCCAGCTACGTGCATGGTACCAGTGCCTTACCTGGCCCTTCTCCTGGCATGGCAGCAAGGTGACTATGGTGTGCACACCATGGTCCCACACCACGCGCCAGAACTCCTCCAGGCTCCCTTTGTCAGGCCCGTGTACAGCCAGATAGTCCCTGGCCGAACTGCAGCCCTGGGGGAAGAAGCAGAGTCTGACTTGCCCACCCCACGTAGGGAGCAGGGGAGAGCGCAGCCTCCTGCCCTAGAGCGGCCTCCGGAGCCGAGCCAGAGGACAGGACAGGAGGGAGGCCCAGCAATACTGGAAGCAAGGGGAGGAGAGGAAGCATGAGACAGCCAGGTAGAGTGCCGGCCTGGGAAAGGGACTGAACCGGAGCCAGAGCAAAGGGGCTCAGCCCCATACAGCAATTCCCTTGCCCAGGAGAGAAGTTTGCGTCCCAGGGAATCGGGGTGGGGACAGGACTGGGGGGCAGGTAGGGAGGTGGGAGAGTTTGAGTAATACTGGAAGCAAGGGGAGGAGAGGAAGCATGAGACAGCCAGGTAGAGTGCCGGCCTGGGAAAGGGACTGAACCGGAGCCAGAGCAAAGGGGCTCAGCCCCATACAGCAATTCCCTTGCCCAGGAGAGAAGTTTGCGTCCCAGGGAATCGGGGTGGGGACAGGACTGGGGGGCAGGTAGGGAGGTGGGAGAGTTTGAGT